TCCAATCCAAACCATTCTATGATTTTATGATCTATAGGCCATTTGCAGTATAGGGTCTGCAGGCCATGTGAGGGCCATGGGTAGAATATGGGCTAACTAAAGCAAGGAGGCCATATACAGTCTGTGCAGCCCATGAGCTGTACACAGCATTGAAGCCATATGTAGTGTATGGGCTGCACTACAGCGTGGAGGTCACTTGCAGCATATGGAGTCATGGGCAACATGGGGGCCATAGGCAGCACGGGGGCTGTATGTAATGCATGGGCTATATGCAGTGTGGGAGCCATAGGCAATGGGTAGAAGGGCACAGCAGAAGACCAGGCATCCAGGAGTGTGCATGCACAGCACCCCCAGCCCTCCATGTCAGCCCCACAGGATGTCGACCCCAACCCTGGATGGGGACAGCACAACCCCTCCATCCACCACCCATGGGCAGGGGACATGGAGACTCCATCCATGTGCAGACACAGTGCTGAGACCCACCGTGGCTCCTGCTCCGGAGAGGGGTGGCAAGGAGGCAGGGCTGGGGCTGGTGGGACTCACCTGGTCCCCAGAGCTGGATGCACTGCTGGTGGTGGGTCATGCACATGCCATTGTTGCAGTAAGCCTCGCCGTAGGCGCAGGACGAGCCATCCAGAAGGTATACGTTGGCTGGGCAGTAGGCTGAGGCACCCGTGCAGTATTCCGGGAGGTCACAGGATCCCGCTGCTTCCCTGCAGATCGTCCCAGCCACCTTTAGCTGCCACAGGAAGAGAGAGAAACATCAGCACTGAGTGACAGCAAAGGGGTCAATTCGGGATTGCTACTGCCTCCAGGTACAGCTTGGGGCCATAAACCATCTATAATGTCGGGCAGATTTTGATTAGATCTAAGGAAGAAATTTTTTTACACTGAGGGTGGTGAGGCACTGGAATAGGTTGCCCAGAGAATTTGTGGCTGCCCCATCCCTGGAAGTGTTCAAGGTCAGGTTGGATGAGGCTTTGAGCAACCTGGTGTAGTGGAAGGTGTCCCTGGCCATGGCAGGGGGGTTGGAACTGGATAATCTTTGAGGTCCCTTCCAACCCAAACCATTCTGTGATTCTGTGTCCCCTGTGGGACTATACGGGGCTGTCAAGGTATAAAAACCAAATTCCTGGGCTGGACCTCAGCCACAAAGCAGCCAGCAGAGACTCTCCTGCGGACACAAGTTTACGCGTAACTCTCCTCATTTGGCACGAGGGTGAGTTGACCTTATGGACATGAAGCATGTGAGTCCCGAGGGAATGGTGGGGGCCGTATCTCCCTGCTGAGCCCATGGGCGGCCAGGTGGGCACAGTGGGGGACACTGTGGAGGGACTCACCTTGCAGTTCTGGCAGCAGTCGCCGTGGGCACATTGGGCCCCTGCCTTGAGTGTGCAGTTGTGTGCGTTGCAGCATGGGTTGGTGCACTCCTACGTGGGGGGAAGAAGAAGACACCACCACAATCAGTGAGTCCATCTCTTCCCCGTTGCTGCCCCCAGACCTTTCTCCATCCATCACAGAATCGCTTTTCTTACTTTGCTGATGGGGAAACTGAGGCATGAGGGGGATGAAGAAAATCTGAGCACTCTGGAGCAATGCCAAGAAGAAAGCCAGATCAGGTTAAATGGATTTAGGAAGGCGGGACTGGGAAAAGCCCTTTGGATGGAGTCCCTGTGGTGACCAGCAAACCCCATTCCCTTGGAAATACCCCTCTGCACGTGGGACGCATCCTGCCACCCAGCAGCAAACGCCTCTGCAGGAAAGCAATGCAGCACCCAGCACCGTACCTCCACTTCCCCGCAGTCACAGTCTTCTCCTTCCTCCAGAAAGCCATTGCCACATTTCCGTCCCACGACCAGGTCCTTGGTGTCGGGCAGGTTGAAGAGACACATGCCACCTCCCTTCTGGAAGTAGTTCTCCAGCTGTCTCTTGCTGCAGGAGCTGAACACGCGAGGGAAGGGGTGTCTGCACAGGGGACAGATGGGGAGGGATGGGAACCGGGGCCATCGGGACGAGGAGAAGGTGAAAAAACACAGTCAGAGCTTGGAAATAAGGACACGGGCAAACTGATGCAAACCCTTCCAAGAGCAGAAGCCACTATCGGCCAGATGCATCAAGATGTATCCCCCACCCTGACTCGCACTATCTGGCTGAGCATGTGATTGACAACCAGTGGACACCACACTGAACTCCAGAATGGGATGGGGTGGACAAGCAGAGACGCTATACGTCACCCCCAGAACATCAACCCTCCAGCAAAGAACCTCTTGGAGACTGGAGACCCGAGATTGGAGACTGAAAGCCCAGGGAGCACCCATGCCTGCAGGCCCTGCCAGCTCAATGCTGGTGTAGGTGCTACCTCCGTGACTCAGTCCCCAGCACCTGGGACACCACAGACCGTCCCTGTCCTAACCGCAAGGCGGGTCCTCCACATCTGCTGTGACCATCTGCTCAGGATGTCTGCAAAATACGTGCTCGTTATCACAGAGCTGCTGCTGGGAAATACCCGTTTGGGGCCATTTAAATACTTCTGAGGCTGAGATGGAACCAAATCATCTACAAAATTAAAGAAAAATGGAAAAGTACTCAGGAAAAAAAACAGGAAGACCCACAAACCTGTACTAAATCATCCACAAGACCTAAGTAGCAAAAACAAATAAATAAATCAGAGCTTTCTACATGCAAAGTCATTTCTCTAACAGCCTTTTCTGTAAGGAGCTGGAGAGAAACGGTGATTTTCTAGAGAAGCTCCGAGCACAGTTCTTCCTTAATTTTGCACAAGTTTTGTGGGGGTGTCTGTTTTGTGCTGAGGTACTAAGAAGGAGGAAGCAGAGAGCAAGAGCCATGCACCGCTCTCCGCTTCTGCGCTGGTTTCATTTCCTCCTAGCAATGAAAATAAAAAAATATGTTTATCTCATATTAGGCCAGCTCATTTCCGAGATGACACAGAGGGCTTTTTCTAAAAGTAATTTTGAAGTCTGGGGGAAATCTCTTGAGCTGCAGGGAAAGCTGTTAAGTCCACACAGGTGATGGGAGGGTGAGTAAATAAATATACCATGAGCTCAGACACGAGCTTGCAAATAGGGAGAGGTTGAAAAAGAGTCAAAAATGTGTTTCCCGCTCACGTGGGGTGAAAAAAAAATAAAGTATTTCGGCAAAAAAAGGAAGGGAAGAAACGTGGCAGGGAGATGGCAGCTCGGAGAACTTTGCCTGCAGGGGTGAGCAAGGGCACGGCTGAGCTCCAGCATCTGCTACTGCTTTGCAGCCAGCTCCGGCGGGGGGCACGGTAATTAGTTATTGGGATAACTAAACAAAAATGTGAACAACTGCCTCGTCCTGGAAATCCAGTGCTTTTCCCCACCACAATCCCCAGTGCTTTTCCCCACTGGCAGAGACAGAAGCCAGGGGTCAGGGCCATGGTCTGCCAGCCCTGAGAGCCGTGGAAGAACAACCTGGGGACACTCCAAAACCTCATCGTGGGTTTGGTCTGTTATTTATTAATGGGAAGAGCTGGTGGGTTCAAATAACGGTGAATAAACAGCTGCTTTTCTGCAGCTCGCAGGGAAATCCAGGACGGCTGTCTTGGCGGGAGGTGGAAAACCCAATGGGACAAGGACTTTGGAAGGGAAAGTGGCACCAACCAGCTGAACTTCATACAGCTCTGGGCCGAATTAATGGGGAAAAGCAAAGGAAAACAAACTCTGGAGGGCACAAAAGCTAATGACTGCCACTCCGGAGCATGTCACATCCAGATTTAATGGGGTTGGAGTGAGGGATGTGAGCTCACCCCACCGCAGCCCCGCAATGCCATCAGTCCCTGCTGGCATGGCCAGGCACTGGGCACCTCTTCGCCTTCCGGTCATAAAATAAAGAATTGTAGAACAGTTTGGGTTGGAAAGGACCTCAAAGATCATCTAGTTCCAACTCCCCTGCCATGAGCATGGACACTCTCCACTACACCAAGTTGCCCAAAGCCCCATCCAACCTGGCCTTGAACACTTCCAGGGATGGGGCAGCCACAGCTTCTCTGGGCAACTTCTTCCAGTGCCTCATCACCCTCAGTGTATAAAATTTCTTCTTTAGATCTAATCTAAATCTCCCCTCTTTCAGTTTAAAGCCATTGCCCCTTGTCCTGTCACTACATGCCCTTGTCCAAAGCCCCTCTCCAGCTTTCCTGTAGCCCCTTTAGGTACTGGAAGGCTGCTGGAAGGTCTCCCCAGAGCCTTCTCCAGGCTCAAGAGCCCCAACTCTCTCAGCCTG